AGGATCAATAATGAAAGCCAGTTTAAACAAAGTGAGACACCAAATGATGAAGATGAAATTCTCATTGTGACAGAAAACATGACAACAAAAGAAAAAAAACCAGTACTGCTAAAGCTACATAAACAATTTGGACATGCCTCAGTTGACAGACTACAAAAGCTCTTGTCTTGCTCAGGCAACACTGATGATGAAAGCATTACAATCCTGAAGGAAATTGTAAAAAACTGTGAAATATGCATCCGGTACAGTAGAGCAAAACCTAAACCTGCAGTGGGTTTACCCATGGCTTCAACGTATAATGAAACTGTAGCTGTGGACCTACATGAGCTTGAGCCAGGTTTGTGGTATCTACATGCCATCGACCATTTTACAAGATTCAGTGCAGGGAGCATTATCACCACAAAAAGACCCAAAGAGATAGTGAAGCACTTTATTCACTGCTGGATAAGCGTTCATGGCCCACCACGCAGATTAGTCACTGACAATGGAGGTGAATTTAACAATGAAGAAATAAGAGACATGGCTGAACATTTTAACATTGAGGTTAAAGCCACTGCTGGATACAGTCCATGGAGCAACGGCCTACTGGAAAGACACAATCACAATGCTACTTAATGTAAAGAAAGACAACAAATGTGACTGGAAAATGTAAAAAAACAAACAAAAAAAAAAACAGGATGCACAATGTACACGGCTACATTTTCAGGGTGGCAGGCTGATGGGATCCAGCTGGTGCTCATCATCTCCAATCAGCAAGGGCCTTAAATAGGAGCGGCTTCCCGGAAGAAGATGCCAGATGGTTCTGCTTCTACAGTGGTACACTCTAGCTCTGTGCTGTGTCTAAAGTGTTTAACTAGTTCCCGACGTCTCTCCCATCTCTTCCTTCCTCCTAGAACCAGCTCTGACTGCTCTCCAAGATTCAGATCCACCTGGACTACCTGACCCTCGCTGTTTTGCTAGGCCTAGCCCCAGGATTCCTCCACAACCACCAGCCTGCTACTGCCTGTCCACCCTCAGTTGCCTGCTGGAACTCCTCCACCTGGAAACCCCTCACTGCCCCAACTGCTGTACCCTCCTCTGCTCATCTGAACCCTCAAACCGTAAGCCATCACCAGGTTACACCATCATTCCCGTCATTATTCCTCTGTCTAACCGCTCACCCATTTCTCAGTTCCTCCTCTGGCCCGGTTCCACCCTGCTGCCGCTGATCTATACCTCTCCATCCTCCCTCCATTTACACCTTATTGTTTAATAAATCTGTTAAACTGCGTCTGGTGTCCGTAGTTGTTGCTTGCCTTAGAATCCTGGTACCTCACATTATGACACTATCAACTTGTTTTTGGACAAAACCCAAACCTGCCTTCAGTTCTAACTGAAAAATCTCCACCATTGGAAACTGATGTCAATGATGGGTCATCACACTGCATGGCATGAGCAAAGCCTTTGCCCAGGCTGAATGTTCTGAGAGGATCTAAAGAGCCCTTTTCATCTTTTTCATTCCAGAGATGAAAAATATGAAACAAGAGACAAAGTCTGTTATAAATATACAGACTGTCAGGAGTGGAAAGGTCCAGGTGTGGTTATTGGCCAAGATGGTGTAGTAATATTTGTCAGGCATGGTGGAACATATGTCAGAGTACACCAATCTAAGCTGGGAAAAGTGGATGAAACACAGGAGAAACTATTAGAAACTGAATAAGACAATTCTATTAAAATGGATGTAATTTTTTTTTAAAGACACCTGGAGCATAAAAGTTGATGAACATGATTTTGAAAGTGAACATGAGCAGATGGCAAGTGGTTCATCACCTGATGGCCAGCAAGTGATGAACCACTTGATGCTGTAGAAAACAGCGAATCCTCCTATGATACAGTACAGCCTGAAGAGGGTGGTCTCCCACTGACACACACAACTGTAAGTAAAAGACCAGATCCAAAAGCTAGACAAGGAGTCAAATACACAAAGAAACAGGTCAAAAATATTCTGGAAAAATAACCAGCCAGGCAGGAAAGGCCAGAGGGAAACAGAAACAATCAGAAGAAAACTTAGCCAGAGGAAATTGCTGGATCCACAGGGTCACTTTATATGGAAGAAGTAACCAACTTTGAAGAGGTTGAAAATGTCACTGACACCAAAGATGAAATATATTAGTGGTGAATGAGGATATTTTTTCACAAGCTAAACAAACTGAACTTGACAACTGGAAAAGGAGGAAGAACTAGAAGAAAAAAATGGTCATAAATGCATATCAACGAGGTGGGTGTTCACACTCAAGAAAACACAAGTGGGCATAGTACCCAAAGTTAGACTGGTTGCAAGAGGCTTTGGAGAAATTAACATTCAAGAATATCCTAAGGATTCACCTATCTATTGATGGACCTAGAGAGCATAACAGGAAGAGATAACATAAGCATTTATGGCGTGCCTGAGGCAGCAGAACGGGACTCTCAATGAGTGACTTTGTAGTCACTCATGTTTTTCCATGAGGACTCGGCGCTGTCCCAATGCGAGCTGAACATAGCAGGGTTTTCCCCAGTGTATTATAAGCCTGCTTTACTAGTACCCCACCAGGCTAGGCGTTGCTTGTTTATGTCTTTTGGGAGTATAATAATTTTTTTAAAAAAAGCTTATTTTTTTCCCCTTTTTTTTTAAGTCGGATTACAAGTGTCTCTGTTGCTCTGAGCATTTCACTAGAGAGTAGATTTGTTCCTAAAGGATAAGTTTATAATAGATAGGTTTGTAGTTTAGGCATTTCAAGCCGGCAGCGCGCGGACCATGAACACAGCTGGAGCCTCTGCGCGTTGCCTCACGCGCTGCCGTTGCTTTACCTCACTTTACCTCAGCATGAACAGCACATGCCTCATTGCACTCAAACTGGACACAGGCTGACCTGTATGGATATTTACATCAACTTCCTCTGAGGAATTATATTTCTTTGGAGAAATCAAGGCAGGAGTTTAGAGCCCACTGCGTCTGGTTGCACAGCTCAATGTTAACCGCAGGAATAACTTTTAGTGGCGCTTTCAGAGATACGCGTTGAGGGAGTAGTGAGAATGATTTATCTTTGTGAACGAACAATTATGTGCGGTATTTACAGCTCAACACGCTACCCAGTGTGTGGCTCTTGTCTGTTTACGGTGTAAAGTTTATGTATGTGATCCCAGTTGGCCGGTGCGTTAGTGGTTAACGAACCAGCGCTAATGCAGGTTCAGCCCAATGAGGAGTTTCACACTCGCCTCGCATCACGCTGGTTTTATATCATTTTATTATTAGTAGTAGTTTTATTTTTCCGGTTACACGAAGCATCAAACCATATCAAATGCTTTGTCCACTTAGTCAGATCTGAAAATCTCGTCCCATAAACTCCAGCAACCAAAACATTTTCTGTGACTCTTATTAAAAACTCAAACACGAAATGGAAGAGAATTAAATTATCGGCATTTTATTTTGAAGGAGAATTTTGAGATAGCAGTGCATTGTGGGTAGCAGAGGTATGATACACCATAAAGTGGGAGAATTTAATCATCACTTGTTGATAGTCCAGAAAATCTGTTTAAGAATATAAGCCACCACATAAATTAATAGTACTTCAATTTATTATGCATGTGTTTTTTGTTGTTGTTTTTTTACACTTAAATTGACCAAAATACCCTGTTAAATAAAAAAAAAGAAAACAAAAAAAAGTAACCAAGGTTCGGCCAACGTCTCACCAGGAGACCGGAAGTGAGGAGCCCCGCCCCTTGCTCTTCAGACAGAGTTTGGGGAAGAAGACGGCGGTCGTCCTTTTATTCTTTCACTGACGCTGTTCATCGTTACAGGTTAGTAATGTGAAGCTGGTGAGGGCTGTCCCCCTCTAAAAATGTGGAGTAACAAGTTAATTTGGATCTGATTTCGTAATTTCATACATAGACGTGCTCAAACATTAAGAAAAAAAATAAAAAAAGAGTGATTTGTTAGGATCGCAGTTAGCTACATTGTGGCTACAATGGCCACATGACGGCCCTTTTGAAGATCGCTACATGTATCTTTTAGCTCCGTCCACTCCCCGATCAAACAATGGCACTGTTCTATCAGTAGCCATACGCTGTCAGGATAGCATACATGCAGTCAGTACGCATGCCCGCGCATGCGCATTAAGAAGTCCGACCGTCAGAGGAGTTGTCAGTTCAGCATACGCAACAAGTTATGACGAAAATAAGTCATTAAATTGTTTATAATATGACATAATATGATAACTAGATAGATATACATGTGTTGTCGTGGTTTCAAAGTGTATTTAAAGCAGGTCTGGCTGCAGCTGCAGTCAACTACAACACACGCCCGTGTAAAACTCATTAACCTACTTAACCGCTAAGTCAGGATGTTATACTGCTGTTAATAACAAAGTGTATGATGATCTACGTCATGATCCTATGTCGCAGATTAAATAAAATCATATGGTAATGACGACGTATACATGTCTGAGCTAAGCGTATGACTATCTGACAATGTATGCTGATCTGACAGAACAGCACCCTAACATGCGTTGTTTTGTGTTATCTGTTCAAAGGAAATTATTATTATTAATATTATTATTATCATTATTATTATTATAGACATCACTATGTCTCCCCTACTGTGTAATCAATTAAAACTGTACAGACAGTTATAGTTATTCAAAGCCCATTAGAGCTTAAAATATATTTGTTCATTATAACATGTCCATGTTAAATTATTTACCCTAATTAATCCTCTCATTTGAGAAATGTTTTTTTTTAATGTACATCTGTGAGCTCTAAATTAATTGGTGAATTGTTTAATTTGGAAATTTGATACTGTCACAGTTGGTGGGAGTTGATACTATTTACTGAAGTGAATGCTATGTAGTTGTTTGATAACAACAGAAGGACACAAGAATTTGATCGTACTAAGAAATGTTAATGATTTCATAATTTCAAGAATTTGTAATAAAGAAGAAGACGACGGCGGTTGTCCTTTTTTTTCTTTCACTGACGCTGTTCATCGTTACAGGCTCTCCACCAAGATCAAAGGAGAAACAGAGACATCAGAAGAAGAAAAAACAAAACAAAACATAATTTGTTACAATTGTCCACTATGAGCTGAGACGTGTAACAAACTGTGGGGGCTCGTCCGGGATCTCTCCTCATCAAAACCATTGGGAGAAGATCCA